GATGAATTTGTAAATGGGGGGCGGTTATAGTCTGATTATCATCACATATGATGTCTGACGAAACGTCATATCGAATATATTGGTACGCATATAAAAACCTGTTTGCTGAATTGAATTTCAAAAAATGTTGCAATTAAATAGTAATTAAATCTTATGCGTGTGTAAAATAGGATTAAAAACTAATCTTCGGCGTAAAGCATGTAGAAATCTGACCAGTATTCACCACGAGGTCACAAACTTTAAAACTTTAATGTAAATATCACAATAATATTTCTTTATATAATATTTCTATTCTTTGACAGGGACAATGAACATCTTTTACATGTTTAAGAAACAAGAAATTTACATAATAAATCTATCTAAGATATTCTTTTACTTCTCAATAGTAACAGACGCAAAACACGGTACTTAAACGCTTAGACGAACGCAGACGCACGCAAAAAAATTCTGGGAATATCAAACGCACGCTTTCAGACGCACGATAAACGAAAAACGATTCACGAAAAACGGTAAACGTTTAACGCTTGTAAACGATGCACGTTTGAGAAAGCGTTTCAACAAACGCACGTTGCACGATATACGCACGCACGATATACGAAAAACGCACGCACGAAAAACGCTATTTTTTACAACTGAAACGTTCACCCTACTGTACGTTACAGCGTTAGTGGCAGTATGCTAAGGAAAACGAGATCATGGACACAAAAAGAGGTAACAAATTTAGATATGAAGTAGAAAAGGATGTGTTGTATAGAATATTTGAGACAGTGAAAGGTGATTTGAAGTCTGAAAACAATACAAATAGTTATTCCTAGTAAATATCATAAAAGAGTTTATGTTATTAGCTCTTGGAATCTATAATAGGTGGGCATTTGTCTGTACGCAAGACTTTAGACAGGATTCAATCTAGTTTTCACTGACCAGGTATTTCTAGTGATATAAACTAGATTTTGTCGTTCCTGTGATAGTTGTCAGAAGACGGTGCCCAGGGGTAGACTTCAGGAAACTCCTTTAGGGAAATGCCTATTATTGACACTCCATTCCAGAGAATTGCGGGTTTGATTTGATAGGGCCAATAACGCCTGTATCGGAAAAGGGAAATAGGTACATATCCAAGTGTAGTTGATTTACTACACGTTACCCAGAAGCTGTTGCTTACCATGAATTGAGACTGAAAATATAGCTGAAACATTGTTAGATTTTTTTAAAATATTTCCCCATAAAACTTTGTGATAAGGGGAGTCCGTTCACGCAAAACTTATGGAAGGGAAAGGGAGACTTTTATCCAAACAGGACTACCCCTTAAATTTTTAAAATTTTAAAGGTTTTTGGAGACTGAATTTGGGATTTTTAAAAGGCCCTGTTGAAGAAAAAGTGCCAAAAAAAAGAAACCCAAAAGGGGGGACAATATTTATTTGCGGGGTTTCCTTTTCATACAGAGAAATTCCTCAGTTTCCCCAGCGGGTTTTCAAAACCCTTTGAAAAATTTAATATGGGGAAAAATTTAAAGGGAATGCAAGGACTTTAAAAAAATTATTTACAGGGACCCAAAATACAACAACACGAAACGTAGGGGTACGTACTAATTTTTGAGTAAAATTAGAAAAAAACATGCAAGATTTATATAGAGAATCCAACAACTCACAAGAAAGTATTTTAAACATCATTTATGATTTAAGGAAAAAAACACCAAGAAGTCTTAAAAAAAAGACAAAGTTCTTAAATTGCTCCTGCCTTCAACACAATAATTAACCTAATGTTAACAAGGAAAGGTCCCATTTGTTGTAAGTGAATCAGTTAACAAGTTTGACTACAAAGTAAAAGTAGGTGATAGAATTGGAATGTACCACAAAAATCTTCTGAAGAAATACGAAGAACGAGAAGATAGAATAATTTGACTGTAAAAAAACCAATTCGTGTTAGACAATATACGATACCATATGCAAAAAGAACAGCGGTAGAGGATGAAATTAAGAAAATGCTAGAATGTGGTATCATTGAACCAGCAAATTCTGATTATAATTCTCCAATTGTTTTGGTGAAGAAAAAGGATAATACAAACATCAAAACATCTTACAGCATTTTCTATACAGAAGGTAGTTACCAATTCAGAAAGATGCCATTTGGAATGGTCAATTCTGGTGCAACATTTAATAGAATGATGCGGAAGTTGCTATCCGGAGTGAATGATACTGACAACTATGCTGTGGATGTGCTTGGACATACGGTTACATGGGAAAGACATATGAATATGTTGAGACAGTTGTTTGAAAGAATACGAGAAACAAAGATCACAGTTAAACCTTCTAAATGTATGATTGGATTTGAAAGTATACCATTTACCGTCATTTTGTTGGCAAAGGACAAATACAAATGGGAGATGACAAATTGATATCAAAATTAGAGACGCAATGCCACCAGAGTCAAAGAAGCAACTGAGAACATCTCTTGGTCTAGCTGGATAATCCCGAAAATTCATTGCTTCATTTGCAGAAATTGCTACACCCTTGACAGATCTTACGAAGAAAAGACAGCCAAATAAAATCATATGAAAACCAGAACATAAAAAAAGCACGACACTGAAGCAAGTACTGACACGATCACCAATACTACGACTTCCTGACTTTTCAAAGTCATTTGTTTTGCAATGTGATGCGTCAGATACCGGAGTTGCCGTTGCACTTCATCAACAGTTTGATGATGGTCTGCTTCCAATAACTTACGCGAGTAAGAAATTGCTGAATAGAGAAAGAAACTACTCGGTTATTGAAAGTGAATGTTTTGCAATGTTTTTTGGAATACATAAATTCAACAAATATGTGTATGGAAAAGAATTTGCGCTGCATATGGACAATGCCCCTTTTACATATATTCAGAAGTGTAAAGTTGAAAGTGGCCTCATAATGAGATGGGCATTATTTCTACAGAACTATAAGTTTCGAATGGTAGCTGTGAAAGGAAAGGACAACGTGTGTGCAGATTAACTGAGTAGGCTCGATAACTGAAAAGAGACATTGTAGATTATTCATTTTGTTTAAAAACAGTGGAGTGTTTTCTTGAGCGGGGGCTATCAGAATAATCGTACAGTTTCACTATAGATATATTTTTTACAAAGAGTTTATGTTTTGCTACAGCGATACGATACACTGAAGTGTATCATATTTCAAGATAGTCAAGATTATATTAGTTGATGCTTTGTTTTGAGGATATATGTAAATATTGGGTACTTTAGTTTAAGTTGTTTTCTGATGCTGATTAGATTGTGTGAAGATAATATTGTTGGATGAATGTTTGTGGTTTATACTAGGGCCGGAAATTATATTCGAACATTGAAAAACGAATACGAATATTCGAAAAAAAGATTTGTTTGTTATTATTATCAAATTTCAATTAAGATCGTAAATTAAACCATTGGCCTTTACTTGACCAGGTGTTCAAACGTTTGTATGATGCGTGTCAACGATGATCGCCACTTAACTGTGAAAACTTTGTGGTCTTGTTGATCAAAAGGGCACCCGTTTCACAGTTTGCAATTTACCTGTTTAACAGATTATAATGTAATTCTTTCCGATTTTAATTATCTTATTTATTGTTTTCTGTGCGATTATCTTTCCGATTAATAAATAATTGTCTAACATTTTGTCAAGACGAAAACATCGACACGCATTAACCGGTGCTTTATGAAAGCATGGCCAGTGTCTTATGCCGTCAGAATATATTATTCCGTAGAAATTAGACTCCGTGTTATATTTACTGCGTTATAGCTAAATTTATCTGAAAAAAATATTTTAAACCTTATCTAAAATTATAAATAAAAAAATTATTAAATTCAAGTTAAGTTTCAATATAAATTATGTGTTTAGGGGCCAAGAGGCTACGGTGATTCATATAACTGTAAATCAAGTCACGTTAGTTACCTCCCGCTAGAAAGACAAATGATCAGCAGTCAGATTAACTGAACAAAAGACAATCAAATTATGAATTTATTTAAAAAGTAAACATATATATCGATTTAAAATATATCAAATAAAAAACTTTTACATAGTAATAAAAGTATTTATAATCGTCGATTATTCCAAGCATATTAAAGTAGTATAGTATTCGACGCAATCAATTTCGGATACGTATACGTCGAAGAGAAATATTGAAACAAATGTTGTAAAAATGAATTTTCGAATATATTCGAATATGGAAAACGAATATTCGAACATCAAATTCCTTATTCGTTCCCAGCCCTAATTTATACTGTATCTTAGAGATGTAAACATATTTATTTTTGTGTTTTCATTTTGTGGTGATTTTATTGTTTTGTTTGGTCATAAGTTTTTTAGAGCTTGGGTTCGCCAGGTTTCTAGTTTTGCTTCGTTTAAAAGACGTATACGTGAAAAGAAATTTCATATAAGTGGTTGATAAATGTTGATCTTGTTTATCATATTTAAAAAGGTTGAACACCAAGCATGCGGTTTGCCTTAAGATAATTGGGTCATAATCTCTTTTAATAAACCGTTTGATAATCTTAGTGAAGACAGCAGAAAAATTAATATGATCCATGATCCTAAGAAGTTTGTATACAACTTCTCAAGAGATATCAGGCTTGCTAATACATAGTCGTTAAATTAATTAACACTTGCACGTACTCCTTAATTCACAGCATTACACCAAAGCAAAGGAACAAAACGTAGGTCATTTGGTCAATATCTAGTCAAGCTCTTATCAAATTTAAATTCTGCATCTGAAACTGTGCACAACGTCCAAATTTTATTACTCTACATGGATGTACATAATGGAATGACCTCAGGGGCTGAAGCCAATTTTTTTATTACATAGAAGGAAACTCTATGATAGATATCGTGTGCCGCCCCCTATCCCTCAGGGTGACTAATAATGAATCATTTTTTAGTTTTCTTTTATTTATTTATTTATTTCATCAACTACTATTCAAATAATTTATTCATAACTTACATGCTGATTTCTAGAGAACGAACTAAAATATTTCTAAATACCTTAGGCGCCCCTTTATCAAATGGGACATCAACATCATCGGCATCAAAAAATGAAGGTTCTTTTGCCTTTCTTCTGACTTCGTTTACCTGAAAAACAAAGTTATAGCTCCGCTTATTAAAGTTTGTGAACAAACATGTAATACTGTATACTTGTTTTAATTTCATAGCTTTACATAAACACAAGTTGGTCATTAGTTTAAATTGTAGGGCATGTGACATCAGATTTAAGTTCTACACCTTAAATTGTGCACAGTCAAAGGGTCAGATTTGTACATAAAAAGCCAAAAGGGCCACATCATAATAATCTAGGTTAGCTGATATCAAGCTCAATTTTACATCTAAAACAGTGCATATTTAATTGCTGTTTATCAAAGGACAAGTAACACACTTCATCAAAATATAGGTCAGCTGATACCAATGTTCAATTTTATATCTAAAATTGTGCACATGGTCCAAATTTCAAAGCTATACATCGAGGACCAAAAAAGGTCACTTGTCAAAATCTACGTTTGCTGATATTTAAATCTTATATTACATCTCAAACTGTTTACATGGCCCAAATCTCATTGCTGAACATCAAAGGACAAGAAAGTAGATCACCGTGTCCCCTTGGGCAGGGTAATAGTATGATATAAGGGTTGAATTCAAACAATCTTGATACAGGTCTACTAGACAATATTTCATGTCGAATACCTAAGCTCTAGCTTACTCCTATTCAGAAAATATATTTTTAGTTTCTGTTTTTACTATATGTACTGAATTCAAATCAATGACCCCGGGGGTAAGGCCAAGTTTTACCCCAGGACTATTTGAACAATCTTGGTAGAGGTTTACTACACAATATTTCATGCCAAATATCTTACGTCTAGATTTTGTCAATTTTGAGAAGAAGAGAGTTTAAGTTTTTTTTTACTTTTATAGCGGAAACCAATGACCTCACCGGGGCGGGGCCAATTTTTGACACTAGAGGCATAATGTTAACATCTTTGGGGGAGGACTTATAAATGACATAATACAACAAATAGCACAGCTCTTAGCCGTGTACCTTCAGACAAGACGACTTTTTAAAGTTTTTACTATATGTACATAATGAAAATCAATGACCAATTGGATAGGGCCAATTTCAACCCCAGGGCTATAATTTAACAATCTTTGAAGAGATTCACTACAAAAGTTTCATCCCAAAAAACTAACCTTAAGTCTCTGTAAATAAAATGAAGAAGATTTTTTAAGTTTTAACTATAATATACAAGGTAAATATAATTAAAACCTATGACCCCCCAACGGGGCAGGGCAAAATTTGATACTATGGCGCAAAGTTTAAACAACAGTGTGATAAAGGACCTAGACATGATATTATAAACCAGCTATCGAGCTGTAACCCTCCTATCTTCAGACAAGAAGGTTTTTTAAAAATGTTTTTAAAATATGTACATAATGTCAATCAATGACCCCCGGGGCAGGGTCAGTTTTTACCCCAGAGCTATAATTTGAACAATCTTAGTAGAGTTCCTTTCATAGTGTTTTATAGCAAAAATCAAACTTTGCATGTGTCAATTCAGATATGAAAATTTTAAAAGTTTTAACTATATACATATTTTTTGTTAGAAAAACTTGTGACCTCCACCCCCGGGGCGGGGGCAATTTTTAACGCAATACTATGCTTATTGTTGAGTAACATAATTGTATCACAGAAATGTATTTTGATCTTTGAAGTTCTTAATGAAACTGTCTAATTTGCATAAAAAGAAGGTACAGAATATTGGAAGATGCATTCCCTATAACAGATCAAATAATGTTGATCCTTTCTTAAAACAACTGCCAGTTTCTTTTTTCAAGACACTTTATATTCATTTTTTGACCTTTAATAGTGTGTAGAGTTTAAACATTTTAGAAAATATTTTATTTTCAAAAAGAAATGTCTGTTTCTAAAAATTGAAATATTTACAGACGGTAAGACGTTACTGATATAGTTCATTCTGTTTTATATAAGTATTTGTTTGATGAATAATTATTGCTTACTCGAAACGTCAAATTATGTAACAAACAAATTCTAGATGCCTTTATTTTATTGTTGTTCACGTGAAGTCATTGTTAAAATAAAATGATAAAAGGTAAAAATGATAAAACGGCTTAAAAACGGCTTAAGGGACACCATGGGTAATGCATTACCTCCACTTAGAGGAGTATTCAAAAAGGCTAGAATCGCTTGCCAACTACATTGAAAATGAGGGGCGTGGGTTCAAACCCAAGAAGGGGCAACTTTTTTCCTTTCTTTCCTTTTACATTATTCACGTCTCTCTCTGATCCCTTATGGAAGAGAAAAGGGTTTGCCGCTTTTCATGTCACATTGAAGGTTCCACGATAACCGTCATATGAACTCATCTGCGGATGTTTAAAAATTCAAAATTGTACCAGTTCGTGCTAAAAGTTGAATTCTGCTTAAGCCGGTGCTAGGGGGCGTAGATGCTAACTTGTACTTTCTAGTACCGTCCATGAACAGGCTAAATCAAACCGAGCCTGCACCTGTGTTGTCAATTTTACAGTTCCTTATGGTGCCCATTACCCATGGTCTACCTTAAGTGTCATGACAATAGCTCCAACCTTTTCGTTGAATGTAAAGCTGACCGTTAAGCTGACCGTTGATTGTCAACATAGCATTCTTTTAAAAATTATATTTTTAACTCACGGATATCGAATGGTAAGCTGAATGTTGATTTATAGCTCACCATTGAATATTTTGAATGTCTATGTCATTGTTTTTACGGAGCAAAATATACACTTGGAATGATATTGAAAAGCAACAATAATTAAATGTTGAGATAAACGTTTATTGTGTAGCTCAATTTTAAATTTGAATTAAAGTTACAAAAATTGAATATTTAGCTGATTGTTGATTGTCTAGTTCAACATTATTCATGAAAAAACCGGATCGAATGTAGAGCTGCGTGTCGGTTGTCTAGCCCATTACATGTAATTTTGAATCCGGCTTATCTCATTAACTTAAAAGAAAGATTGATTTTTAAACTGAATGTCAATTGTGTACATCGACATTTGAAATAACCTTGCTTAATTTTCATTATACACGCCTGGCAAACTGTCGCTCCACTTCAAAATTGTGATGTACGGTAAAACGAGCGAACGGCATTTCCGAGATAGAGCGGAAGGCCGATTTAAACGCCTAATTGTAAGTATTGTTTATGTTTTTGTCTCGTTATTTATTTAAGTTGTATTTTTTCGAAAAACGAAAAATGTAGTACCGTGTAGGATTTATTTAGGCTTACAATGATCTAAGCTGTAACAAAAAGAAAATTATATTAAGCCCGGGAGAACTTTTCTCCCTGACGAAGCGAACGATGATTTGTAGAAAATTGAACTTCCCAACCATAGAAATGCCATACCTTTCGGATTTCTTGAAAAAGTGTATTAGTAAATTATCAACCCGTAATAAGAACTTGTCCTTCGTGCAAAATAAATTACTCCTGAAGGATTTCTTAAATTTGTAAATCGATATTTTTCGAAAGTAGTGGAGCGAAAGGGCGAGAGATGGAGCAAAAGGTTCGATGTTGATCGCATCGCACCGTTCGCTCGTTTTACCGTACACCACAATTTTGAAGTGGAGCGACAGTTTACCGGGCGTGTTATTGTTATTGTCGTGGATTGTCTAGCACAATATTCATTATGATAAAAAGTATATTTTACTAAGACCGAATGTTAAGCTGAATTTCGACTGTCTAGGTTACCATTTGTCATTTTGAAAGTCTAATTTATTAAGGTTTTTCGAGCACAGTATTCATTATGTTTAAAGGAGGATATCTTCCTTAGATTGAATGTTGAACTGATGCTTATTGTTAAGTCCAACATTGGACATATTTGAATGTCCACCTGATTGTTGATTATGAACATTCATTATGAAAACATTAATATGTAACACCACTTAAACAAACCAAGTCTATCACTAACACAACTACTGAAGTTGCTCTCACATCAAACACATCAACGACTTCTTTTACAACCACTTCTACTACAATAGCCACTATCATTTCTATATATGCCAACTCTGCTAGTACTACACATGTGTCTCTTACTACTAAAACAACCATCACAATATCCACCACTTTACAACTACAATTACTTCTACTGTCAATGCTGCCACTGTTTTTACTTCTTCTATTAAAACTACCATCTAAAATCCAGCTAAAAATATTATTTTCAAACCATGTTATACTGAAAAATTTGTTAACAAACCAAAGGAAATTAAACCACTAGGCCTTCGTTTAAAAGTTGATTTAGATAAACTTAAAATTAATCCAGACAGTATCCTTCAAAATGACGATGAGGATGTTCCACCTTGAACTTATAATTCCCCGGAAATAAATATTAACCTTTCAAATATAAAAAAGGCATCAAATTCACCTGAATATTTCAAAGAGAAGTTTCTAGCAATTAAGGAAGAACATGAAGATTTTATACATATTTATACGGACGGTTCAAAAGAAGGTTGCAAAGAAGGTTCGGCTGTGTTTGAAAATAATTTTACATCTAGTATGAGGTTACCAGATAATGCATCAATTTTTACTGCTGAAGCAAAAGCTATCGATTTAGCATTGTCATACATAGCACAGCATACCCACGATAAATTTGTGATATTTTCTGACTTGCTTTCTGTTTTAATATCCATTAAAAATAAAAAATCTGACAATATCATGGTAAAGAAACTTCTTTTACGATTTCATGATATACTAAAAACAAAATATATTAAATTATATTGGATTCCAAGCCATGTAGGAATACGAGGAAATGAAAAAGTAGATGCTTTAGCTAAACAATCATTAAATTTTCAAAAAACTGACATATTGTTACCTGCTTGTGATTTTAGACCGGCTATAAATAAACTCGTATCAGCTGAATGGAAAGCAAATTTGGACAATGCCGTTTTTAATAAACTTCACGATATAAACCCATCTCTTGATATGTCACCATCTCTATCTCTGTCAAACCGCCGTGATCAAACAGTTCTTCTTCGATGCCGAATTGGACACACTAAAATTACCCACTCTTATCTCCTCACAAATGACAATGCCCCT